GGTAAGAGGGGGCATTGGGTGCACGTTGTGTGTGCTTAATGCCTTGATTGCTCAAGGAGTGTCCTTTCGTAACGAGCTGCTATCAGCTTTTTTCCTATGTATTTTTTTTCTTCAGGTGTCTTTGTGTAATGTATGTATTCTTGTACTAGATGACATTAACGTCTACGAAAAGTAATATTCACCTAGTCAGCAGGTCAGGACTGAAGCCTAGGAGGGGGAAGTCCCCCGGGGAAAACCAAGATTGCTCACGGACCCGGGGCTCCTTCCCTTCTAAGGCTTAGTCCTGAACGTCTACAATAAAATAATGTGCTTTCCATGGTGAATGCTAGTCGACTGATGCCTCCCTTCTGATGAGACCCCAATGTTATTATTGCCATTCTTGCTCACTTCTGATTCCTTTGGATTAGCAAGTTCGTAAAACAAACAGATTCATTTCGTTTTTGGTCAACGTCTGTTTTGGACACGCGGCATATTTTCGCCATGGGTGCGCTCGAACCGTTGAGCTTGAAAGCTTTCATTACTCAGAGCCAGTTCGACCTGGACCCATCCCCACCTCCCCTAGACTGGTGTACGCTTCTCCTGGCTCGGAGGCACCCTAGCTTTCTGGGGAAACTGTATCATGATGCCCCACACCTAACTGGAATAGATCCCGGGAACCTTTTGGCGTTGCATTCCCAAAATGTTCACAACACTCCTTCGAAACGATATGGGTGTCACAAACGATACATTAAGATGGATCAAGGATCGAGGATGTTTTGAAAAAACGCTTGTGTTTGAGCTCTTCTTCATTTCGTCTTTGGCCTTGAGTATCCAATATCCGTCTTTTTCTGGGTTTATTTGCTGACGTTCCAGTGGCGTTCTGCGTTGTTTTTCTCGTGGACTTTTTGCGCGCTTGTGGCGAGAATTTTTTCACGAGCTGGCTCGCTCGCTCTCTTTTGTCAATCCACACTGCAGTGCTGCGATTATTCGTGTTTTTCGTGTGATAAGTGGCTCTAAGTTGATTTGTGTTGGTGATGAGCTACGGCCCGACTGACGGGATCTATTTAGCCAGAGCATCATTTGTTGACTCGTCGTCCCTCGAGACCGTTTTCCTTTGGCGCCCCGCGCGTCCTCCAAAACTCATTGCGCGTTTTCGGAACAAATGTAGCATTGCTTTCGTACTTTCTCGTAGCCGTCTGTCGATATCATTACGTATAATATGCTACGATACATTTTTAACAGATGTGTCGTCCTTGATTTGAATGTGTTGCATACAATGGGTTTAATACCCCGACTTCTTCAATTTTTGTTTGCGCTACTTAGCGCTTGGAGCGCTACAGCGACGTCACAAACACAAAAAGGTGAGGCTCAATGGGCTAATTCTTTGTTTTCTTCCCTGTGCGATACTGTAGGAGAGCTCAGTACGGTATTAGAAACTGATTCATGTATTTTGTACACATTGCTTTGTAAATTTTGATAGCTAATATATTATTTGGTAATTCGGCGCTTAACCGTTGGGACAATTTTGACCAGAGATTATTTCCGAAGAACTGGAGGTACTGTTCATCACCACATTCCATTATAATGTGCGAGGCCTTCCACGGGGACTTCTTATAAGTGTTATCAGGATAATTTTTATTAGTAAATGTGTACAAAACCGAGCTCGAGCTTCACTGAAAGGTTTTGTTTTTCGTTACTAATGATAGAAAACTCTCAAACTTCACTCCATGGCTAGGTTTCTTATTGTTATTCCTTTGATATACCTTCTGGTTCTAACGTTACAGATTTGAATTTCTTTCCTAGAAGAAATAATTATGGGTCGCTGTGGCGTTGCCGTATGAAATCTGATAACGTTTTTCCATTAAACAGGAAAACAGCTTCTCAGCTTGTTTACTTTATTGATGCCATTTTCAAGTAATCCATTACCCTGCAACTTATTTATAAATACTCTGCAATATTTCGTATAGACTAGACTGCTGCTTACTTGCATTTTCGATGAGTACTACACATCGCAATTTGCTTTCGAATTTGCCTGGAAGTTTTGCGCGACTACATATCTCGTTGATGGAGCTCTGAAATTGGTTTGATGTCATGCGTGTCCATTCGACTTCCTATCGATTCTATGCACATGCCACAGAGTGTCGCGGAAAGGTGCACACACGAGGAGGATGGCGCAACACCTTCGCCTTTTTTCCGCCGCTCGCGTCACTAAGCAATGGAACAAGAGAAAAAGAGGACGCATCAAAATGAAGATGAATGCGCCTTTTTGGATTCGGCCGCAGCAAACTTCATAACTAAACGAAGAAATGTCCGAAAGTTACTATTTCTCTGGTCTAAAGCATGAGCTGAAATAAATCTGCTGAGTTTTGGGGTCTCATCCAGTAAGGGGGGGGGGCATTGTGATGCAACGTCAAGTGGCTGCCCTCACCCCCCTAGACTGCCTTCACTCCCCCTGGCTCACGGGGTCCCGTACTTCGAGAAACCTGTGCGCCAGGGGGAGTGTAGGCAGTCTAGGGGGTGGGGGGTGAGGGCAGCCACTTGATGCCCCCCTTACTGGATGAGCCCAATTTTGTTCCGGGTTGAAGATTAGGGCGCTTCAACATGTATATACAGGAAAGGTAAAAAGTATATTGCGGTGTGGGGTGAGAGCTTGATTTTTCGGTTTCTTTTCCTTTTCATGGCTGTGTTGCCAGATTTTTCGTGGATCATTGCGGATTTGTGGATTATGTGGAAGTTCGTTATTTGTTGCATTGGAGTATTGGCACGAATTTATTCGGTACTTACTGTGAGATCATAGCTGACGATTTTTTTCCCAACTTCCTTGTTATCTCTTGAATCAACAAGAACGTGCTGAATAGGTAGACCTCTAAAATATATTGAAAATTGGGGATCATCCATGTAAGGTGAGAAGTGTTTCGTACGAAAAAGTGAAATTTTCAGCAAAAATCGCCGTAGATTTTTGCCCTCACTGTATGTTTTGAATGCTTGCGGTGCGGTTACTGGAGTTACTCATAATTTTCGTCTGTTGGTCCGTGCCGCAAGTGGCTGCGAGTTTACAGATGATTAGGGAAATGGCGTCCGCTCGGTCCAAATCCCAAGCAGGAAGGTGGGAGCACTAACCTGAGACTAAGCTTTGGAGCGCCTATAGGGGCTCTGGTGATGTGATCTGGGCTCCTTAGGACAGAAAGTGGCTTTTCCGCTTTTCGCACGCGGAACTTTGTTTCGTTTCGAACCTCCGGGTACAGTCAGGATGAAGAGTTGGGCTTTTGGGTTTCCACAAAGAAAAAAGCTTCGCGCGCGAAAAGTGGAAAAGTCGCTTTCTGTTTTAGCGAGCCACGCCTGGGCTCTGGGATGGGTGAGCCAATTGTAGTGGGCAAAAGTTGGACTGGAAATTTTTTTACGGTACACAGTAATATCTTTGTCTTGGCGCACCATCTTGGTGTGCTTTGACGGCGTGTCTTTTGACGTACGAAACAATAAGCAATAAACAATAATAGGAAACGTGTAAACACATATTGTGTATGTATTTCCGAAAAAACGATAATTCTGGGGTTTATCTTCCAGTGACCCCTGACTGTTCAAACAAAATTATACGTTGTAGTTATGGGTGTGCTCCATGGCATATAGTTCACCATATGTTTTCTGAAATTAGTCTGTCAATTGCTTCGGACTGGCTTATCAAAGGATATGTGCCTTTGTTGGAGCTTCCCCTCACACATAACTCCTCTGTGTGCATCAGCAAACCTGGTCTCGTCTGCCTTTGTTGAATGAGTACTTTTGGTGGCGCTTGCGCTGCGAATAGGACTACTAGTCGGCTTCCACCACCCACGAGTGCTCTTTTATTGTGGGAATGTTATGGTCACGTTCAAGCGGAGGGGACGCTAAAGAGCGTGAAGTTTTGTAGTAGTTAGTGCAAAACTGAACTTCTGTAGGAAGGTTTAGGGGACTGACGAGAATCCGGGATGTTGTAGCAGCTTACTGTATCTCGGCTTAATTATATAATGCATCGTGAGCGAACTGTATCTTTCTGATGTTGTGTTTTCAGAATGAGGACACGGTCAAAAAATTTTGATAATTATAAAACGATTCGAATGCGTAGTAAGTTTCAGCTCTCAACTGCCAAAAAGAGGGAGAATTTCTTGCTAACCACATGTGTGTGGTTCATTGCCTCTTAATTCCCCAACATTATATTTTATCAGTTGATATTTTATTTAAAAAGTCAGATAATTGGGTTTTATTTGTACATGCTATTAAAAATATCTGAAAGATCTAATTTTGACTTTATTCTAACTTGCCCGTACTACCCTTTCCTTACATGTTTGCAGCTAATACGGGCGTCTAATTTTGATCTATATCGAGTGCGCAATGGAAAGAAATATTAAATATCACTCATAACCTCTACTAATACGGAGGTTTGTGAGGGTCCTCACAAATTTAAAAAATTCAGTGATTTTGAAGGGGAAATTTTACGCAGATCCTGGTTCCTAGATCAGAAGTCCCTCTCTTAACAAATTTGAATTGGCTCTCTCAAAATAAGATATTTGCCCATACTACGAGATGCACTGATGAAAATGACAGACCCCCGTCAAAGTGTTCATTGCTCTAGCAAAGAGGTGTAGTATCTCACTTGAGCTGTAGTAAAGTGCAAGTCGCATTTCGCTGTGAAATTGAGTAGTGCTGAAGAGGAGCATAGCTCTTCTTTTGAAATTATATGAGTCGCGGTTTTTTGTGAGGCGTTGAAGCTGATCGACGAGGACGTCAGCTGTCGCGAAGAGCTTGTTGCTCGAAGTAGTTGTGGTGCTTAGTTTTTCAGCCTTGAGTAATGTTTTTCAAGAGTGGAGAGAGTGGACACTTCGGCAACTCTATTAATGAGCAGAAAGTGGTCTCCCACATTGTTCTCTTCTGCAAAACCGCGACTTCTGATTTTCGGGAACTTTATGATATAGGTGCAGGACCATTTTAGTGATGGCGCGTAAGGCATCCACAAATAGAGGCGTAGACGGAGCAAAAATGTCTGAAAAATGGTAGGATTGGTAAGGGAGTAGTTACGGTCTTATGGGGTTCGATGTTAAGAGGTATCTCGTAATATCGAGCCAAATGTCGCTCACAAAGATGTGTTTCCTCTCATTCCGCTGTACCTTTTTTTGCCTGAATATCAACACGCTCTTTTTTGTAAGTGTAAGTCGCGCCACATCATACTAAGGGCGAATCCGTTCTTATCGCTCCTGATCAATTAGTAAGGAGGTAACGTAGTCGAAAAAATGGGTGCCTGTTCAGTATTATGGCAAGGACCTCTTCTCATTCAAAATGAAAAGTACAATTAACTGCCGAGTGCTCTGGCCTCAAGGTAGACGTAAGAGGAACGGTGCTATCTTTAGTTGGGGGGGGGGGGAGGGGGACCACGCGGCGGCGCGGCGCTCTGTTCGTCTGCTCCTCCAAAGGCTTAGTCCAAGGGGCAGTTACTATTTCGCCATCCACGTGGCAGTTTCGAAATACGCGCCATCGGTGGACTAAGCCTTGGGAGCAGACGAACACAGCGCCCCCCCGCCCCCCAACTAACGATAGCACCGTAGAAGTTCCTACAATTATTGGAGGCTAGGGATTTTGGATATTGGGAGGGTCAATTCATGCCGGGAAGTGTGTCACTTTTCTAGTAGTGAATGACCATGACCGAAATAGATTTTTTTCTTTCTAAAGAGATTCTTGCAAATAGAGTACCTCTAAATTTTTATCTATTTCAGTGCATCTAGCTCCTTTGAATTCATGTTCGTACTTCACTGCTCCCAACCAGGTACTAATTATTAGCTATTCTTAATGTGTTCTCTTTCTCGAAGAGCATACTTAGTATGTTCGGCTGAATTTAGCTGAATGTACTTGGAATGTCATTTGCATCCTTTTCTTTGTACAGGTGAAACTGACATGGGATCGTCCATTGCATGTGAATGGACATAGCAATTTCGGCGGTTACTATGTGTACGTGGAAAAGCTGCTGAATGGCGAGCCTGTGAATCGACGCCGTTCCAAATACGATGTGATCAATGACCTTTCGGTACGTTCTTCATGAGTGTTTACGCTCTTAAACATCGTGAATAATCGATCGTGTACTATTTTCAGAAACGTTACTGGGAGATCGATAAGTTAGAGCCGAATACGGAATACGCGTTCAGAATAAATGCGTTTAATCGTAATGGAGACGGCGAATACACGGACGAAGCGATAGTCACTTGGCCGGGATCCGTTACGTTTTTGAATTGCTGAGGCCTTGCGAAAGTTATGACGAACCTGAAGAACTTGTGGTTTCAGCACCACGCCAGCCAGAGATCCTTTCGGTAGTATTACTCGGAGATGAAGCGCCCTCTGAGAGCTAGAGTTGAATGGAAAAGACCTCAACTTGCACCTCTTGAGAGTCCTATTGATAGGTAGGATTATTATACACCTTTGTCCAGTCATTTCATTTTGAAGCTTTCTTTCCAATTTTCAAGCAACTGTGCATTGCAACATTTTTTTCTGGTAGTTGTGTCGGCTTTAGGTTGTTTAGGGAACAACTTAGAATCGTACCATTTCTTGTGATTGCCACACTCTAGATACTTAAAAGTAGTACACGATTTCGCGCACTATCAGCGGACACCACCTTTAAAAACGTTTTTACGTTTTCGAATGGTTTTTTTTTGTCCAATTCTAAGCTCATTTCTCTGTCATATCCAGTAGTAAGTTCATAACCAGTGGGCAGGAGTTTCGAGGATTGCTGAGTTTTCGGTATTAACTTAATATGTGCCGATTGGCTGTGGTGGTCAAGGGTCTGATGGAAAATGATAGTCAGTGAGCTGTGTAGCATAACTATGATCCGATATCTATTTCCCCTTCATTTCCTCCTCATCCAATGTTTCGGCTTGCAGACAACCACCGTTAAGATGTCCTGGATTTTGGTGACAAAGTGCATTGATATTTATTTGAAAACGATCATATGCCAAGATTGAATTTCTTCGTAAAGCTCCTCTGGATGGCTTTTTGAAAGAACTCTGAAATGAAACGCTTGACAAAACGGTGTTCCTTGGGTCACGGTATTTTCGAATTTTTTACCCACCCAACCTTGCGATAATTATCACGGTATATTTTTCTGACAGTGGGCGAGCGTGCAGATGCGTTAACCCATCGTTCTTATGGGAAAAAAACTTGTTTTTCAATGTTACTGCCTAATTGTCACGTCATTTTCAGGTATAATGTATGGTATAAAGCTGAAGGAGCCACAAATCACATGAAGAAGACCGTCAACGGTACAGCGAATAGCGTCGAACTTACTGGACTGTGTACGGTTTATAACGACAATAGAATTTGTTAATCCGAGTTAAAATTATTTATAACGCAATACTCCATACAGCCGGAAATCAAGGAGGTCCGGAGAACTAAAAGCAGGGCACTTTATTTATCGTCGTCGATCGGGTATTATACAGATTATTCGGAGCAGCTAATTACAATGTGCAAATATTCACAAGATGACGGTTGTGAACTTCAAAAACTTTATGTCCAGGCGGGACTGAACCCGACGTTCTCGTTTCGGGCAAAGTGCGGCTACCAGTTCGTAACCGGCACTATATGTGATTTTATTATTTATTTATTTATTTATTATTTTATATTATTGATTTATTTTATTTATTTATGTTATTTATATTTGATTGCACAAAAGGGTATGTATATATGTCTGTATGTGTATTGCATGTTTTCATTATACTACAATTATTGCGTTTTATATACTTGTGTTTTAGAGAAATGATAAGGTCCTGCGAGGACGAAAGTGTGGAACCATCAAAACCGCTTCATGCGGACAACACGCTCGTAAGATGCTACCGCCTTTATGTAAGTGCCTTTACGCCTTCACCCACCCTCCTGTTGGCTGTACCAGCTGTTGCTCCCTTACCTTAGGATTCTAGCCTTTCTAGCGTAATGGCTGAACAGAATGTACACATATGTGACGTCATCTACCGTAGAGTCTCGTACAGATACAGAATCAACGCCCAAAAAACGGTCTCATTTCGCGATTTCGCTTCTTTTAGTTACTTCTTCACAGCTATTTACTATTTACCACCTCCGATTTCATTTCCAACGGACAATAAATTTATTGCACCATCTGACTTCGAATTAAAGCGAGCGCTGGCGCCAACGCTGCCGCTCTTGACGTAGTACCAAGGTAAAGTGTATAGCCCTTAAGCGAGCGTGGTTCGGCTGAATGAATAAGAGCCTTTGTAATTTGGAAGGGGAGGGGGAGTTTTGAGGATAGCAAGTTGGGTATTTGTTAGCGATATGCTAGAGAACTGTGACGTCCTGAAATTTTTGCGGGAATTTTTCCTGTTTTTTGTTTCATATAGTATTTTGAGATAGACAAATTATTTTAGGTGATTTGTTGCGTGTGGATGATATTGTTATGAGATGGATCTAGAATGGGACCAGGAACATTCAAGGAACAGGGGAGGAGTCGCTCTCTTCGCACTGATTGGTGTGGTCACGATGGGGATGAAATTTGAGTACATTTCTGGTCCTCGGAGAAGCCAGGGGGTTTCACCGGACATGTAGCGTCGTTTGTTCTTTTTTGCAGTACCTTGAATTATTTAAAGGTGGAAGGTTGTTTTTTTTGATACTTCCATGGAAAACAAGTTAAATTCATTTTTGGCACAAACAACAGGAACAAAACATTTCTACTACTTTTATTTACTAATCGCGTACGTGTCAGGAATAGGTTTTGTTTTATGCAAAAGCATTTGTTAGTTTAATTTTTGCAAGTTGTTAGACAAGATTGTAGAGTTTTGCAGAGTTCAGTTGATGAAGAATGTTATGCGGGCTGTTTAGCTATGAAGCTCAGGTTGAGCTCATAAACATAAACATGGATGTTATGTGCGTCGTGTTGAAACTGGCCAGAAGGTAAGCAATGGGTGGCCCATGAACAAGCTTGCCTGAGCTACCACTTGTCCAGCATGGGTAAGATTTCGAGCTGGACCCATTGGACAGTTTAGGTTGATACAGTACAATCCATAGAGGACCTTTTTATGACATATACGAGACAGTTTCTTTGGCTTATTTGTTCATTATCACGCATCAACACATCTTCTTTACTCATATTTGAACCCAACTTGCGACATCTCACTGGAGGATAAGCAAACCAGCCCTTTTGCCGTTTCTGCTGGGGCCGTATGCTCAACTGTTGGGTGAGGAGATGAGAGTCCTCAACGCTCCACGGTACTTGGACTCACCTCATTCGGAGTGATGACGAAGTGGTGTAGCTAGGTCCATTGTTATATTTCACAGCCTTATTGTTCGGCAGTGCTGCTCTCGCTAAACGACCGGCCGCCATTTTTCCATACAGCCGGTAGTTCATTGTCAGTAACCTTAGAGTAGGGCTTGGGTGACTGATGACCGATGAGAATTAGGTCCATCTTATACCAAATAAGTTCTAGCGTGAACGTCTCTGATCCCTAAGGTGGCATGGCATTAGAGGGGGGAGGGGCTTTCAAAACAGGGCCGATGGTAGGGACTAAGGATCGTGGAAACTGGCGCATGATTAGGAAGAATGAAGGTAGCTGACTGGCTCTGAGCTTCAGGACGAGAACGCCGGAGAGTTACAATGGTCTCAATCTTCCAGAAGATCCCCCCCCCTAAAGTTTAGTTCCATGTTATGTTGAGTGGTTCGCTCACTTCATTCCCCCTCCTTAAAGAAAAAAAATAAAACGAATCCCCGGACCACTTGGATTGTACCTCCATGCATTTCGTCACAAAAATTCGGGTCCGCCATGGGTCCAAGGTCTGTGGAAAGATTCCTTTAAGCAACATGAAGCGCCCTAGGTTTATGTATGTGCCGCGAGATTTCTGGTAGCAGAGTCTCGGCGGTCCTATTTGGTGTTTTTTCTTCACAGGCGGAGGCGGCTGCTGACGCGATGCTCATACTCAGACCATCGGATTCCGCAAGCATTTACTAAACTAAGATACTCGAAATGATTGGCGTTGGCTCTCTTTCAGCCGGTGATGAGTTTGTGGACGCCCACTAGGAACTGACGCCGATGGTGTTTGGCCTGGCACGTATTTCCCATTCAACCCACTGAGTGTAGACGGAGGTGTTCATTAGACACCGATCACGAGCGAGTACAACTCTTCTTCTTGTTTACCAGAAAACTCGTCGATGGAAACACACGCCATGTGTTGGAAATGACATCGTTGATCAGACGCGTACACGCACAGGGCGATCCTTTGCCGTTCTCAGAACGCCTGCGATTACCGCAATGTCTCGCCGTTTGTTCTCAAGTGTTGTCTCGGATATATTTTTAGTTCATATCTTGGCCTACGATCTCGGTCTGCTAACGGTTTTGTGCTTGAATCAGTTGCTCAGCGCTCCTGCCCACATCACCTCCTCCAGCTTCCTCGTTCAATTGTTTTTCACGCGACGTGGATGTTAGAAATTCTTTGTGTATTCAGCCGTCGACGATTGCCAGTATTTCATTAATTACGCGATTCTCACGCAAAATCCAAATTTCAACGCTCACGCGACGGCCTGCTCTAACAAACCCGCGTCCTCATTCTCTCATCGTCTCGAAAGAACGAACACAAAATTGGAAGCTGGTGACGTGATTTTCCTAGGGGTTACTTTTCAGCGCTTTCCGTTGCCTCTTTAACACGAAACTGTTTTAGTGCGATTATTTCGTTCATTTTCATGACTTTAACAGACGGAGAGCATCTCGTTTTCTTTCCAAGAAAGGGATATCACTTAGTTGTGCCCTACCTATAAGTACATCTTAAATTAAAGGCACTCAGTGTTTGGGGAAGGTAGGGGGAAGAGAATCAGGTAAGTGAGCCACTTACAGACTTGGAAATTAGCCTAGGCCGAGGAAAGGGATTGTGGCAGCAGTATGAAAAGCATTTTCGTGTACTGAGCACATTTTTAATCTTCTCTCCTGGTGCTAATGGGATTGTCCTAGTTGCTACCCACCTGCGAGTTCCAAATGCCCCGTTCGTGTTCCTAAGGTTGTAAAAGCAGCCCCCCCGTTCTGTGTATATTGTAGTTGTGATAGTTTAATTATAGTGTTCTGTGCTAAGGCAAACGCTTGAGGAAAACAACAAGTTCTTACACCGCCATAAAAAATATTCGCGGAACAATCGAAAGCTCAGTAAATTTAAATAAAAACTCTCTTCTCAGGCGTTCGAGATGCGCAGATGACTTTAAAACGTCACAATACCTAGCTTAAATGTTTGTTGATTGTTGCTCCAAAGAAAATGTAAACATGGAAAGGCCTTAAGTTATCGAAATTTAATATTGTCTCGGTTCTTTTCGTTGCAAGTTTAGAGCAGCCGGGATAAAACTAGGTGAATAGAGCGCCCTACGATTACGTGATGAGCTGAGCTCGCGAGCGACGGAAATCGGAAAAGGAAAGCGGTAGGATAATACTTTTGGGATCGCTGGAATTAGGACTTACTTTTCATAAAGGTGGCGATGGCGAGGATTCGAGACGATTCACGGCGGGTCGAGAGAGCACGCTGATATCGGATTGGGTGGTAAACGTTGACAGGAGTCGATGTTGACGCCGTAAAGGAATTGAGCGCCTTTAGCGCATTGTTGCCGCGAAGTTGGGAGTATCGAAGGTGGGTACGCGACTTGTAAAATTTCACCTCGAGTATTCTTCCACAAGTCGGGGCTGATCGGGAGTTTGCCTTTTTATGCTCATTATCTATTTAAGAGGTTCAGGGGTGCGAAGGGCAAATCATTGCGTTCTTCTTTACCCATCCGTTAGGGCGTTGTTATCCCCTATCCTTCGTGAAAGCACGCAATCGCCACGTCACTTTTGTTTTACCATTCCCCTAATTATTTTCATATATTCTTTCATTTCCTTGATTTATTTTTATTTGTTTTAACATTTTTCATATTAATTTTTTTGATTTTAATTTTTATTGGACATAAAATGGTGAACGTTCGCTCAAATGGTTTTCAAAGCTTTGTCGATTAATTTCGATCAAATTGTGCTATATCCTGAAGGATATCGCCTCCGAATTTGACAGCTATAAACAGTATGGACAAAATTCATTTCGAAAGTTCGGCACAGTTTTATCATCCCTGTTCTGAGTTGTTCCAGGCTGCATCTATTAGAGCGATGTTGACGAAAAAGGCAGACCCACCTAGAAATTAATGGTAGAAGGTGGGCGGGGGTGCAAGGGGTGACGAAAAAACTGTGGACGAGACTCAAAACCAGAGACCGTACCTTTCTTCACCGTTTTCGCATTGATTACCGCTTTCAGTTATGCTGATTTCTTTCAATGTTGACGCCTTTTTCTTCTGCTTATTCGGATAGAGCAGACGGCGAAGAA